AATGCATTAGGTCGAGTGAAATCTTTTCGTATCTGTTTTTATTAATGTACTTTTGATCGTATTGACGGAATGGAGCGAGACGATTTTTAACCGAGTAAAAATCAAACTTGGCAAAAACGGCCAGAAAATTCTTTAAATATTGGAAATAGTATATGGTGAGTCTGCCATGAAGCGTAGAACTATATAAATAGGTGAAGTTCAAGGAGGGAAGGAAGAGTGTCGATGACAACACATGAGCGGGGCGCCCTTTTTTAACGTGTCGAATAGAATATTCAACATGTTCGATTTGGTGAAGGCAGACTATTGAATTACTATTAGAATGATTGCAGAAAAACTTGGAATAAGTAATGGTAGTGTTCAGACAATTTTAAAAGAAGATTTAAAAATGCGGAAGCTGTGTGCAAAAATTGTTCCGAAAGTTTTAACTGACGAGCAAAACAAAGACGTGTTGACTGAATCGAAAATATCCAAAATTCAAATTTTCTCAAAAGGGTAACTGGAGACGAATTTTGGATTTGCGAGTATGATCCTGAAACAAAAAGACAGAATGAAAAGTGGAAGCACCATGAGTCATCTCGCACAAAAAGCGCGCAAGAATCGTTCAAAAATCAAAATATGTTCATAGTTTTTTTCGATATTCATGGAGTTATTCATCATGAATATGTTCCAGAGGATGAATCTGTTAATACAATTCTGTGTTGAAGTCTTAAAGCATCTACGTGAACGTATGCGACGTATACGATCCGAATTGCGAAGAACGTATGGATTCTGCATCAGGACAACGCACCTTTGCACATGGCGTTCATTACGCACGAGTTTTTGCCCAAAAACAATATTACTACCACAGACTACCCTCTCCATTCATCTGATCTAGCACCCTGTGACTTCTACCTGTTCCCTAAAGTAAAAAATATGCGAGATGAACATTTTATGGCTGTTGATACCATAAAACGAAGGAATTGATAAAGGAAGACATGTAGCATTGCTTTCAGGAATGAGAGAAGCGTTAGACTAAGTGTATTCTGTTAAGGGCAGAGTGCTTCGAGGGTGATCACATCCCCGTTACAGAATAATTTAATTTGGATTTTTGGCCTGAGTGCATAAATTTTTTGTATACGCGTATTGTAACAACCGTGGTTATTCTTTACATGAAAGTCGTTATTTCTATATAACATCACATTAAGATCCTTTGTTTATATTCTATTAAATCGTTGTATTAATTCTTAATTCATCAAATTTAATATGAAAATCAATAATAAAATTAGTTAAACTTAGACAATTTTGATAAGAATATTATTAAAGTCAAATTAATCAGTTAGTCTTATACTTTTAAATATTAAAAGGACGAACATAAAAGAAAAAACAGTCGTTATTAATTTGAAAAAATATTTTAATATTTAATCATTAAAATGAAAACCTGATTGTGAAATGATAACTTAAAATAGTTATCTATAACCATATAATTTGATCATTATTATTGCCTATTTATAAATTTCTTCGTCAAACTCGTAAAACTGTAACGAAGAGCAGTATAATGTTGACAGCAAAATATTGACAGCTCGATTATATATATATCGTTGATAATATAAAGATAAATCATCTCTTCCATAATTATCATTGAACAGGGGATGTATCTTCCAATATCGAAAGATAGATATTTGGGAACTTCTTCCAGAGTATCACTCTATTTATTTAAACCAGTCTGCTTGTTTATATGTATCATTTCTGCTAAGTCTTTTATAATAAAATGGTTCCTTATTTAAATTTTCTATTGCTTCCCATTTAAAGTCATAGTTTTCTTCTAATTGATGTTCAGATATGATAGATAAATTTCCAATAGTTTTGTTGGATAGTAATGTCATTTTGATGTTCTTTAATGCGAGTTTTTAATTTTCTTTTTGTTTGTTCAATACATACAACATACATGGATTCATAGTCTCTACAATTTATTTTATTACCTACAATTTATTGTATATACAACATTATTAAATGAAAGTGATTCTAATTTATCTTTACCTATTCTAATGAATTTAATTAATGAATTTATCGATTTGAAAACTACATTGAAATTATGCTTTTTACTTATATATCTAAAATTATCAGAAATGTTACAATGGTATGGGATTGTGAAATATTTTTTTGAAATTATTCTCGTTGTTATTATGATCTTTTAAAAATATGATTTTTAATTGTATTGTTAATGATATCAAATATAAATTCAAGAGTATTCATTGTTCAAAAGAATAAAGATGAATTCTTTCAAGTTTTCTTCATGAAATTTTGATTTCGATAGAAACAGTTTGCTTTATCAAGCAAACTCATGATAATCCCTTTTATACTCAATAGAATGATCAAAGTGATAGATATCTCTCAGAATTCGTTGGTTTTCTATACATAATACCAAAACTGTATGTAATCCTCTCTTCCTCAACTATCAATTTTACGTTAAGGAAACTAATCTCATCATCCTTATCTATCTTTATAGTGAATTGCAATCTTATGTGAATGGAATTAAATAGATCTATAATTTCATTTGCTGGTATAGCAAACAAAATATCATTTACATATTTAAAATAAAAAGAGAAATAAGTTAAATGGATAACATTTGTTTTTACGTAAAAATGAATTCTTGGTGCAAAAATGAAAATAAGAGATCTCCAATGACCTTGATCTTAACGAATATTATTTAGAATATGATTCTGAACAACATTTAAGAAATTTTAAGAATCATCGGTCAGATACATTGAGTAATGCTAATGCCAGCGATGTAATTTGCAAGCCTTATAACTCAAAAAATAATGAAAATTATTTAATGAAAATAAACTTAATTATAATGTTTTGGAAAACTCTCGAGATGAGAGTCTCTACAAGAATGTGTAATAAAAAGTAGGAGGTTCCATTTAAGAAATTGAAGGAACATTCACGTTCACATCTTCAAGCAATTATTCAAGGTTAAACTATTGTAATGACACTATTTTATATCCCCCTCAAAGCTATATAATTTTTGTCTAAAACACTTTTTTTCTGAGAAGGAAAAGTTTTTTTGGGGTGGGACATTAAAATGGGATACCTTTTATAATTTTTTTATTTATATTCTTGTAAGATCTTTTTATGTACTTGTATATCTAATTATTCATTTAGACAATAATTTGTGTAGGACTTTGTGTAGTAATAATTATCAAAATAATTAAGTTTGAATTTTATCTTGTCAATAAGAAAATAAAAGAAATCAAGATAATTTATAAAAATTAAATATTTTATAAACAATCATTTACGAAATATGAGCCATATTTTCAAATATAAATTTATAAAGATTTTTTCTAATATATGTCAAATGAAGCTGTTGAACTTCTACGCATAACCGTATTTTTGATAATTTACATAAAATAAATAATATAATTTTGTATTTACGGTTATGAGTCGGCGAGCCAGGAAATTAATTGGTAGGCGACATGCGATCTGCGAGTCATAAGTTGCACATTTCTAGGCCAATCAAAAATATAAAAATGTTCATTTTTTGCTCTAAGTCTTAAGATATTTCTCCGGTTACAACGCACTAGAAAATTAATCGTGTACAATCTATGTGTACCTCTCCGCGCGAAGGGAAAAATTTTTGAGACGAGCATACACACGCAAATGTCGTATATGTGTGCACGAATACTGGTCCGCAGTGTTCTCTGAAGACAGTTGAAATATGGCAAAGCATGTCTCGCTGCTCGACGTGCGAAAAGAAAAATTCTACCAAATTACAAATTTAAACTACTCTAATTCAAAACGGCACCGCTAGATCTCACCATTTTTTTTATAAGGTTCCTATAACATTTCTACACTAGATATTTCTTTTTATAAAAAATTTGAAGATTTTCAGCATAAAGTATTAAAATGTTACTTCGACAAAGCTTGGTATAAGAGTTATGTATTAAAAGCTGAAACTTTAAAGGTGAATATCTCCATTTCAGCACCACTAGATCTTTGAAATTTTAATCATATGTAGAAAATTATTTTTATTAATTTGCACTTTAAGGGATACCGCGTTGATGACCTTGATTTTGACATATTGGTTGTTAAAATCATGATCCTGAGCGACCTCCAACAGGTTTTAGATGGTCGTCTTTCGTTAAAAAGTTATTAACAAAGGAAGATCGAAAAATGTCTTTTTTTTACTATATAAAACAAATTTTTACTATATAAAAGAAATTTTCCGTTTTAAAACTTATTTTATGACTTTCGAAGCGACTTTCACATTACCTTCTCTCTTGTTTCAGGGGCGCACGATTACTTCGTGAAGCAACTTTCACTCCACCCCATCGCTTGCTTTAAAAGCCTGTTTTAGGGGCGCACGACTTTTCACTTCTTTTTCACTTCCTTTAAGGGAGAGATGAAGTGGGAGTTGTTTCGCGGCATGGAAAGTCGTGCGCCCCTAAAACAGGGAGGAGGAAGTGAGATGAAAGTCACTTCGGGATGGAAGTCGTGCGCTCCTAAAGCAGGATTAGGGGAAGTGGGGTGAAAGTCATTTTGCGTAGAAAGTCGTATATTTTAAAGCAGAAAATTTCTTATACAAATAGAAAGATTTATTACACAAATTAGACTTTTAGGTCTATATAAATATTTCAGAAACTAATAGTTTTTAATACTGTAAGTGGCAGAAACTATTTCTTAAAATTTTTTGTTAATAACTTTTTATCTCGGAGAAATACCTTTTTGTTTAGCAAGCTATAATATAAGAAAACCAGCTGATTCATTAAAAATCAATTTCATGTAAGGTTACTGCGGGATTCTTTTCTTCTTATTTAAGAAAATCAACTTGTTTTAGATTTAAAGCCTTTTTGATAAGGTCTTTTTGAAATATTCGATGCATTAAGATGATTGATAAACAATTACAAGCATATCGCACATACCAACGTTTTCTCCAAACTCTACTCACCATTTGTGGTTGTTGGTACATGCCTACAAAATCTGGCAAATCCACGTATTACTGGTCAATTTGTACGCTTTTAGCGATGATCACATACACGATAACAAACTTAAATATGAGTTATAACCTTAGACATGACTTGAGAAATATGATGAAAGCCATAGGTCTAACAACAGCTGGAGTTAGCACCATTCTCAAGGTATGATAAAAGGAATTTGTTATTTATTACTTTAAATTTATTACATAAGAAAGTATAAGACTAGAAAAACATTGTATTTGTATTTTTACAATAAGACACACATACATAGGGGAGACCAGGACTAGTAGACTATAGAGGTAGATTTTTTTTCCTGAGGATAATCTTCATAGACTTCTTCATTCCACCACCATGAAGAGGAAGACACCTCCAGGAATTGACTTAATCCGAGGATAATGTGGGATTTAGTACATCTTATATTCCCCGAGAGGAGTGACAAGGTCACTTACTCGCTAAAAATCCAATCGCGACCATCCTTTGGATCGTATTTGGGAAAGAATTGAGAATCACCAGTAGTTCCGACCTCCTCTCCCCCCCCCTCCCCCCTCCAACGCAAGAGCGTTCCGTCGGCATCAATTTTTTTTTCCTTTTTTCCTTTTTTCTTTTTCTTTTTTTTTCTTCTCAGAGGCGGGGGGGGGGGAATGAAGGCGGCGTCCCCCTTTACCTATGATGCCCTGTTAAGAGTAAGGCAAGAAATCCCGCCCCACAGTAGAGCGAAACGTAAAATTCTCGGACATAGCCCGAAAAAAAAACTTTTTTATTTCGATTATTTTATCATTAAAAATATTTATTGAAATGATCCTATTTTTCATTTCTATACTGAAACTGATATTACAAAAAAAGAACCGATAAATAAATAAAATTCATAAAAAAATAGAAACTGATCGAATTAATGTAACAACATATAATATAATAGAGAGCGCCTAAGAATCGGTCAAAGTTGGAAGTTACGAATAATATCTTATTCTATGTTCATGAATTTAATTATTCTCAAATGTGACGCCGAAACATTCGGACATTAAAACACAATCAATCTAAGATGCTGATAATCGCGAGCTGAAACGTTCGGACAATCGCGAGTATATTAAAATTCATAAAAATAAATTATTAAATTTTATCGATTTGTCAAGAGATGTACCTGATTCAATTATAAGATAATTACGTAAATACATTTACCTCGCAATTCAGTTATATTATCAGATTAGTATTACTATATTAGATAATTTTTCTATATAGTTTATAAAAAATATTTACTTTCTCCTTTTTGTGTTTCATTGTCCTTTATTGAAAATTTTAGTCATTTATTACAATATTTAACAAAGATTTAAATAAACTGCCTGGATTTGCTCGTTCTGTACCCCTGTAAAATTTTATGAAAATATACTTCTAAAAGTGTGCATATATGATAAATTTAGATGCATTTAAGTCCATGTTTACAAAATATATTACTGTTCATAGATGTAGGAACTGTAGCAATATTTTCGCATTTTATGAAAACGTAAATATCTCTGTGAAAAAAATCATCGTACTATTTATTTCAAAAAGCACGTTAAAATTTAGAAAATACTTTAAAATGCCTATTTGTTAAATTTTTGTTTGATACTTTACTTTAGGTATTTCACAAAATAATAAGAATATTGAAAAAATATCAATTTATATAATTTTATGTAATTTAGAAACATAATATCGTAGAAACAAAATTTGAACGCTAATTTAAACCTCTATTTTTCCTCTTTAAAACACATTTTAAAAATCTTTACGATTTTTTTTCACAGAGATACGTTTTTATAAAAAATGAGAAAATTGCTGAAAGTTCCCACATTTATGAACGGTAATATGTTTTGTAAACATGCACCTAAATTTACTATGTATGCGCACTTTTAGAAGTATACTTTCATAAAATTTTGGGTATAGAACGGACAAATCCATTTTTTTAAAACCTTTGTTAAATATTATAATAAGTAACTAAAATTTTTAATAGAGGACAATGAAACATAAAGAAGAAAAAGTAAATATTTTTAATAAATTATAATAGAAAAATTATCTAATGTAGTAATACTAATCTGATAATATAACCTAAATTGCGAGGTAAACGTGTTTATATATATAATTATCTTATAATTGAATCAAGTACCACATCTCTCGATTAAATGGATAAAATGTTTAATAATTTATTTTTATGAACTGTATTTATTTATCGTTTTTTTGTAATGTCAGTTTTAATGAAAAATAAGAACATATTTAGTAAATATTTTTAATGAACATTTTGAAAATATTCAAAATAAAAAAATTTTTTTCGGGCTATGTCCGAAAATTTTACGTTTTGCTCCACTGTGTGTTCCTCACCTCCTGTTATTCTCACTCACGGAAGGGCTGAGCGCCAGCGCCTCCTTTTAAAAGACGCCAAGCGTCACTCAGATCTTCGTGAGAGGGAAATAACCTCCTTCCTTCTTATTCGTTCCGCCTTCTCCTTCCATTACTCGAATGCAGAAAGAAGGCATCGTACTCCACGCTTCATCCTTCTCAACCATTTTAACGAACGGTTGGAAGGATCAAATCATAAACAATTATGTTAATTCATTATGGTGTTGTCCACAACTCTAGGCTGAACATTCGGTCAAAGTGTGATGCGCTGGGTCTTCCGCTAGTGGCAGTGGAAGCAGTGTATTCAATCCAGCGCAGTGCTCCGTGAGGACCTGCACTAAATGGTAGGACAGTTCGCTCTGTCCATCCAATTCTTTAGACAGAGCTAGATGGCCCCGGTGGTCTCGCAGCCGAAGGAAGACGCATTGAGGAGCCATTTCTCTCAATTCCTCAGTGTTCTTTCCTTCTTACGCTCTCTCATCATTTCAATAACTCTATCCAGAACAACTTTCCCTCTCCTGCCAGTTTGAACTTGTAGATATAGACCTCGGCGCGTTCAAAAGTCGCCAGATCAACTGAGGGCAAGACCAACTGTAACTGCGGCACGATGCGATAGGCATGCGGGTTATCAGCGCAGCGCTTCGTACAGAATAAATACTAGACGCTTAATGCGCGCATTTCCTTTCATATCCTGGGCTCACACCGGGCTATACCATATAAGATCACCGACATTATCATTTGCAATCAGACGCTTTACTAGGCGTCCAGACCACGTGAATGGGCAGGAGACGAGCTAGCACGACCACCATGCCCGCTGTAGGGACTATCTTTTTGAAGTATTCAAAAATCTCTATAGTCCATCCAATATGAGTTTTAAGTAAACTTTACTTTAACTGAGGACTCACTTTGATGTGAGCTGTCCCAATTTGTACCTTCGTTACGGCTTTTCTGAGGCCCGATCATAAAAATACATGGTCTATTTTCTGAGGAGCCACCCGCAACCCTGCTTCGATTCTCCGCATCATTCCTGCAATCACAACTTCTGTTGCAGCTTCTAATCCTTTCCATTGGCCACAAGTGTCATCTGCATAGACAAAGTTGCAACCAGTAAGAAGGGTGCGGAGGATCTCATAGCGAGTCTGAGGATCGATCCGCAGGACAGTACCTTGCTCCCTGTCTGCCCCAGCCGATCGGTGTAGGTAATCTTTCTGTCTCAAAAGTAGTTTCAGAGAATCCCTCTGAAGTAGTCGGAAAGGCCATAATACTCAGCAGGCCTCCCGACCACTTCCGAAGAGATGAAATTGAACGCATTGACTATGTCGAGCGAAACACCATCCTCCTCGGCAATCTGTTCCGGGAGAGAATGAACCTGCAGAACATCAGTGGACCGTCCCTAACGAAATCCAAACTAGTTTTCCTGAAAATTAGGACTCTCCTAGGACATATGCTGAATGATTCGGGAAGCAATTATTCTTTTGAATTTTTTCTCTACTTCGTCCAGTAGACAGATTAGCCGTTAGGCAGATGGGGAATCTGCTGGTTTTTTTCTGCAGGAGGAACAACGAGGATTTCTTCCATTCGGAAGAGAGTGACCCAACTTAAGGAACCTTGTAAATAAAGTCTGGAAGCTCGGGCCGATTTCATCCATATCCACTTTTCTCGAGACTCTATCTAGCCTAGAAGTTTTGAAACTACTTTCGAGCCTCCTCGCGGTCTTCATCTCAACTACCATTATCCCACATTCCTCCCTCTGCGGGGATGGGCTTGTATAGAGAAGAACACGTTTTCTCCTCGTAAGGAACAAGCTATCTACTACCTGCTGGAGGAATAGATAGACTAATCGAGACTGCATTCAAAATAAAACATGCTAGATACGCGTAAACATGTTTAAACACGCAGCAGCGACTGCCGCTCAATCGACTGATATTTCCTTGCGTATGCATCTGTGATAGAAATATTTTACAATTTTTAAAAATCATACACGTAAGTAAATATTTTCATTCTTAAAGTTTTTGTTTTACAATCATCTGTAGTTGTTTGAAATATTTGACTTCTGTTTAGATAATAAAAGTAATACTTAATACAGTGCAACAGATTATTTTTGTTTATCTGCTTTTGTTATTATGTATTATTAATTGTTATCGTGTATTATTAATTGTTATCGTGTTAAAAGTTTTTAAGAAATGAATAGATGGGACTAGTAGGTTAACCATGCCATGAAGCTATATGGCTCATTTAATGGCAGCTTTTAAGTAACTACTTTCAAACATTTTGGAGTGAAATCTCACTCTAAAAGAAGGAAAATACAGCTAATTTTGAAAAAGTTTGTTGTTTAAAGAAATTTATCTCATTGTCAATAATAAATGTTATATGTTCAGTCTCCTCACGTCCAATCTTGATAAAACTATGCTCATTCAATGCATTTTTGCATGAAATGAGCAAATCTAGCAAAAAGAAGCATTGCTCTTCGAAAAGCGATATTAATTGTTACATTTGATCAATGTTAAATTAAACAATCAGTCATTCGCTGCAATCTTATACGAGTTGTAGCCTCTCGCTTCGAACTCAACACGTGCGATGCTCACGATCTCGTAATATTGGAGATTGATAGCCTTCTTCAATCTTTTGACGTTTGTTTTACTAGTATGTCCTTCTCAGTCTCTGTAGCCGTCCTTCGGTCTATCTTATCTTTATTCTTCTTCTTTTTTTCTTCTTATTTTAGGATTATGGTCCTGTTTGTTCTTTCTTTGTTACTTCTTTTGTGAGTCTGATGTCCAATTCTCGTACCAGCGTTTGGG